GTTATGGTCGCGCTCTCTGTATCACGCACAGCGGAGTTCCGCCCGATGCGCGCGCGCGCACACACACACACACACACACACAAACAAACACACACAAGTGAGGCCACTCCCACTAGTATTTGTAAATATTAAGCAGCAAAATTAAATTGATGTTAAATTGTTTAAGTTTCATGATTTTAATTAATTCGACATGCTTTTTGATTAATAAAATGTAATTTAACCATTAAAAAGGAGTCCAGAAAAAAAAAAAAAAAAGCCCCCAAAGCCGTAAACCTAGGGGAAACACTGATATGTGCATAATGTAGTGTTTCACGCAATAATATTGATTCATGCAGTCTGTGTGTGTTTCTCTCACAGTGACGATCATGTAAAGTTCTTCTGCTTTCAAGTCTTGGAGCACCAGATTAAATTCAGGTATCACTGAATCTTTGCAAACTCAGAAAAATTAAAAATGTGCAAGAACTGATAAAATGTATACCTTGAACGCAGCTCAAGTCGCTTTGGATAAAAACGTCTGCCAAATGCATGAATGTTTAAATTATGATATTTTGATTAAACATTACGAGGTCCAAAAATGTAACATGCACTGATGAATTGTTCGCATTAAGATCTATAAAATGCATTTAGAAATATATAGGGTGAATTTTAATTTACTCTGAAGTAAACTCCTACTGCTATGATGGGCTAACAATTGTGTATGTTTGACAGCCTACATCCTTCATAGATGGACGCTGCTGTGGTTATAAATACTCGACGATCTGTAATAACAGACAAAGTAATAGTGACCACGTAATCAAAACAGTTGCACTCACTAGTGTTTTTGAGACATTACTGCCAGATCCAATATATTCAATACACAGCATCGTCTTTTAGTTTCTATCTTAATGAAAACCCGGAGTTGAATTTTGCCTTGTTTGTAAACGAATCCATGGTAAAATGAAGTGAACAGAGGACTAAGTTCTTGCTGACGCGGTCTGGATCTTCATTAAAAATAAAGTTAATCCACTCTTTCCTAATGTTGGGATCAGAAGGAAGGCAATGCAAAGACTGTTTATTCACATCTTGGCACTGCACAGCGTCTTGTTGTCTGCGGAGCATCTTTATAGTTTGGTTTCTGCATAGACTTGCGTTTGCCTCTCTCGTTATTTACACTACATTCGCATGATCATCTTCTGTGGAGGCGGGGTTTAGCCACACTTGCATCATAAAGTGGCACATTCCACAAGCTGTCGTTTTGGCGACAGCTTTGCCATTAAAGTGCATCTCTCTCTCTGTCCTATCTCAGGAGACACGCAGAAACATTCTGATCAAAGACACCATGCAAGAGCAGTGCATCCCGGCGCTGGTGGAGTCCTGGTTTCAGATCCTTCAGACGTACCACCACACCCACAGCGAGCTGACCTGCCAGTGTCACTAAACAGGCAGTGCTGTAGAATCGGTGGGCGGGGCTAAACAGGCAGTGCTGTAGAATCAGTGGGCGGGGCTAAACAGGCAGTGCTGTAGAAATAGGTGTTGATCATCTTCTGTGGAGGCGGGGTTTAGCCACACTTGCATCATAAAGTGGCACATTCCACAAGCTGTCGTTTTGGCAGATTGGCTTCAATATAAGCTGTTTTTAGACTAACGAGAAAGTTTTGAGTTCTGAAACTTACAGGATGTTTTTGTAGTACAATGACCTTTTATATGTCTAAAGATCAAAGGAATCTTGATTTCTCAGTTCTTGACCCCTTTAATGTATTATAATAATAATCATAAACTGGTTTGTAGTGTAAAGTTTTATTGTTATTCTTGTACTTATTTACTTAAAGCGGCTAATGAATCAGAAATCTCACACATTAACAGAAATTAGTTTGCATTGAAAAATAAGATGGATAGAGTTTCATACAGTTTTTAAAATTGTATAAATGCTGTGTTTTGCAGACACGGGTCGCTCACTGCAGCTCAACAGCAGCTGATCCGAGAGACCCTGATGAAATGGTTGCAGGCTCAGGTTAGTATTGTTTACCATTTCATTGATATTCATGTGAATGATGAATAATCATGCTACATGTGCGCTTGAAATATGATTTACGGTCATGTATTTGCATGTTTGTCCAGTTGATGAATGTGCATCCAGAAAAGCCCTTCATCAGGAATAAGGCGGCGCAGGTTTTGGCCCTGACATTTGTGATGGAGTTTCTGACATTATGGCCCAAGTTCTTCTTTGACATCCTCAATCTGGTGGGACTGAATTCGAATGGTGTGGACATTTACCTGCGCACACTGATGGCTATCGATGCTGAGGTGGTTGATCGGGACATCCTGCACAGTCCTGAGGTAAAACCAAGGCCAACTCGAGGAGAACTCCGGTGTTTTCTGCTCCCGTCATGCCATTAAAGTGCATCTCTCTCTCTGTCCTATCTCAGGAGACACGCAGAAACATTCTGATCAAAGACACCATGCGTGAGCAGTGCATCCCGGCGCTGGTGGAGTCCTGGTTTCAGATCCTTCAGACGTACCAGCACACCCACAGCGAGCTGACCTGCCAGTGTCTGGAGGTAGTGGGCGCGTACGTGTCCTGGATCGACCTCAACCTCATCGCCAACGACAGGTCAGAGCTGCTCTGATGAAGGTCGTGTATATGTGACTCGCGCTAATATATCATCAGACTGACTCTAATGACCTTCCTTGAGCTTCCTGTCTGTTTATGTGACAGCTGTGTGTTTGTGTAGGTTTGTGAATCTGTTGCTCAGCCACATGTCCATTGAGGAGCTGCGTGAGGAGGCGTGCGATTGTCTGTTTGAGATCGTCAATAAGGGCATGGAACCTGTTGACAAAACCAAGCTGGTGGAGACTCTGTGTCAGGTGCTGCAGTCTGCAGGGTTCTTCAATATCGAGCAGGTGTGTGAATACATAATTGTTCTGGCAAGTGTTCATCTATCTTGTCAAAAAAACCCTTTGAGGAACTTCCTCTTTTATTCTGTTGATGCTTTTAAAAAGGGCTTTAACCAAGTAAATCCAGATTTAGTCCTAATGTTTTTAGAAAAAATGAAACTTAGACAGTTTTAGTTTTTACTTTTGAATAACTAAACCTGGCTTTCACCATGAATATAGCCATAGAAACTGGCATGGCATTAAAAAAAAGTTCTTAAATTGTTCAAAAACAATGGGAATATGGCCTATAAATATATATGTGTGTGTGTATGTATTTATATATATATTTTATATATACATATCAGAAATTGACCAAATCACTTGAATGTTTATATTTAACAATTAATCATTCTAAAAAGAGTGGGATGATTTTGTTGGGGATTGTATTTGTGTAGAAAATAAAAATATCTTTTTTTTTTTTTAAATATCAGGAAAAATGACTTTATACTTGTTTTTTTTTTATTGCAAACCATCTGTTTTAGGGCCGAATGATTTGTGAAAAACTTGAAAAATCTGGGTTTTCACACTTTGGTTTCCTCAAACCTCTTTTAGTAATTAAAGTCAACAGAGTTAAAAAAAAAAAAAAAAAAAACTTTCTACTTGACTTTTTGTATGCCAAGTTCTCACTGTTACATGACCAATTCAGTATCACTATAAAATAATAATAATAATTAACCAAACAAAATAAGAAATATATTGTAATAACACAATTATGCTGTAAAATAAAAAGTCAAGTATTTAATAAAATAATTATTTTGTAGTACAACTGTAAAATCACATTATTAATACTTATACCTTAATTTAAAAATTATTTTAATTTATTACCAAAATTTTTTTTTTAATATTATATAATATTTGCCCATTTATTTGTTAAATTACAGTCGCACTAAGCCATATCGCGATATTGATTTTATTTTGATATATCTAAAGTTGCATATTAATCGGTCTAAGACAGATTCTCTTGTCTTTGGTTTTCTCATCTGTCACGTCCATCAGGAGGAGGATGTGGATTTTCTGGCTAAGTTCTCTCGGTTGGTTAACGGGATGGGTCAGTCTCTGGTGCTGAGCTGGACTAAACTCAGTAAGATGGTCGATGTGAAGGTTTCGGTGGAAACGTTGCGTGCTGTGGAGGGGAAGGTTCCTCTGATGCTACAACTGCTAATTCATGAAGATGATGATATTTCAGCCAACATCGTGGGCTTCTGTTATGACTACCTGCTTGTTCTCAAACAGGTACACATGCTAAACCCTCACTTTGAGGCTGAGAGGTGATCTACACGTTATACTCATCTATAAGTTTGTGTGTTTGTGTTTTTCAGCTTCCAGCTCTCAGTGAGCAGCAGAAAACAAACGTGGAGGTACTGCAGCATCACAGGCTCATATCTCATACCTGTTAATTAGTGCTGTAGTTTATGCTTGTTGTTGTCTTGCTAACAGGCGATCATGCTGGCTGTGATGAACAAACTCAAGTACGATGACGAGTATAACTTTGAGAATGAGGTCAGTGTGGAAAGTGTGATCTGTTTTTTTTTAGTGCTTTGGCAATATAAATGTACAGTGTTTGTTGTGACAACAAAGTGTTTAACTGTGTAATAATATAAAGTAGTTGTATAGTTCACAATATAAAATATGGCTGCGTAATTTGGGGGGGAAATCAAATTGTATAATTAAATACAATAGTATAATATTAAATCAAATTGTACAATAAAAATAAGCAATAGAAGTTATTACAAAATAAAAATATAAAATTTGCTAAATAAGAACAAAAGAAATGTTACAATTGTACAATTTCATTGTTAAAAAAAAAAGGCAATTAAGCATTTAGGAAAATATTAAAATAGAACAAATATAATATTAATTATATTTTTATCTTAATTTTATAGTTTATATATAAACTAATATTTATAGCTGTCTTAAAATCTTAAAGCATCTAACTTTATTTTGACGTAAGAAAGGAGAAGAAATGTGTTTTGTTTTCTTGTAAGTCTTTCTTGACCGTACAACATTTTATTAGAGTGTCCTGCTTTAAATTAAATTAGGAAATGGTTTTAATCATAAATTACATTAATGGACAAAAAAAGTTTCTCCTGGTAAAATGTTAGAATTTTTGTCAAATACGAAATTTAAAGATTGTTTATAATTATTTTTGTTTGTAAAAAAAAATATATATATATTTTAATTATAGTATGCAATTTAATTGTTATTGCTATTTTAAATCTTGTTACTTTTGAATTTGCAATGAATATAGCCTTTGATGCTGATATGGAAAAAAAAAAATCTTTTTTTTTATTGAAATAAAAAGTCAATAAGTATTTTGACAGAAACCGCAGGTTTTTGTTTGTTGTCTTTTGTTAATACGAATATATGGGAAGATGGAGGGCTCGTGTTGTGTTCCCAAATTCACATTAAAGCGACTTCTGAAACACGCAACACATATATTTAATTAAATTGCATCCTTTGCGATTTTACAATCGCACTAAGCCATATTGCGATTTCGGATTTATTATGATTAATCGTGCAGGCCTAATCTAAAATACAGTCTGTTTGTTTCTCTCAGGGCGAGGATGAGGCCATGTTTGTTGAATACAGGAAACAGTTAAAGATGTTGCTGGACCGACTGGCTCAAGTCTCTCCTGAGCTTCTGCTGGAAGCTGTGCACAGAGTCTTCAACGCCACCATGCAGTAAGACACAAAACTGCTCAGCACGCTGAGAAATATCACAGAAAACAAGTTTTCCTTGTTCTTTTGAGATGAGAGTTTGAGAGTTTGCTCTAGTGTTCAGCACTCGTTAACTCCACGAACCTGCAAAACAGGTTGTTCAGATGTCTTCACGGTTGAAACATCACAACCCTGAGCTCATATTAAACATATTTAAAGAGGTCATCGGATACTACATGCACTTTTACAAGTTGTTTGAACTGAAATGTGTTGGCAGTGTGTGTTTTGTAATGAATCTTTGCAAATCGCCTTTCCTAATAATGTGCTAATTAGCAAGTTTCACGATGAATGCGGCTAAAGTAAACAGTCTCTCAGAGAGCGGCTAGGAAGAGAGGGGCGGGGCCAGCAGAGCTCATTAACATTTAAAAGGAAATGCTACAAAACGGCTTGCTCTGAAAAGAGCTGTTTTTGACAGGGTGTTTTTTACACTACCATTGAGAAATCTTAACCAAACTATGTTACAGACTTTTCATTAAGACCCTAAAGAATCATATCAGCTTGTGGAAAATGGGCATCCGATGACCCCTTTAACAAATCATAAACTTGAAAGCCCATCTAATGCATGTTATTGATTTCTGTGTGTGTGTGCGCAGGAATTGGCAGACGGTGCAGTTCATGGAGGTGGAGGTGGCCATCAGGCTGCTGTATATGCTGGGTGAAGCTCTTCCTGCGTCTCACGGAGCACATTTCTCTGGAGACACCACGAAAACCAGCACGCTGCAGTCCATGATGAGAACGGTGAGAATAAAATTCATCATTTCTCTGAATGAAAAGACCGATTGAACTAGGGCTAGGCAATAAGCGATATATCAAGATTTTATGTCGATGATGATTAACTATCAGCAGGATTAATCTAACAGCAGAAATCAACGCGACCGCAGCCAGTCAGTGCATGTGGCTAATAGCTGATTTCTGTGTGAATGAGTAGCATGTTTTTTTCTACTACACACAAACTCGATCGCACGTGACACTCGCCGTGTTTTCAGCGTCTGCGTCTCAATACATGAGGACTTGAACTTCACCTTCAGAGCTGCTCTGAGAGTCACTTCACCAGCTTTACATTGTTTACTTTGAGGAAAAACTACTGTTAAATACACAAACTCAAAGATCTTCATGACAAACCCCCAAAATAAAAGCTCGGTTTAACATGAGAGATCTTTATCACTGTTGTATACTTTTAAACGCGTTAAATATTACATATACGTATGTAATATAATGTGTATTTCCATCACAGGCTTGGTCTTAAATTTCACATAAGGTGGTATTAAAAGGGTCTTAAAAAGTCTTAAATTTTACTTGTTCATATCTGTAGACACCCTGTAAAATGTACTTCTCAAAGCAATATTTTTATTTTTAAGGAATATCACACAACAAGATTTTTGTCTTTTGCTCAGCATCTTATTTGACAAAAAATAAAAGTGCAATGTTTTGTTGTAAATTAATTACATTTTCTATTTGGTTACATTTCAAAAGACTTGGTTACATTTCAAAATATTTAATTTTGTCCTATATTAAAAGGCAGCTAATCTGTCGAGTTTAATTGTGAACAAAAAAGTTGTTTACATTCATTTTCAAGGTCTAACAAACGTGGAAAGCATTTCCTTCCCCATTAAAGGTAAATGAATATCATGATAGATATCAATATCATATGATATGGGGAAAAAAATCACGTTAATATTTTTGGCCATATTGCCCAGCTCTAGATTGAATGCAAATAGTGTTATAGGCACAAAGTAGCATGTACATCATGATGTTGTGTGTTTGTGTAGCTGGTCTCCTGTGGCGTGAGCGAGTATCAGCATTCCTCCGTGACTCTGGAGTTCTTCGAGACCGTCGTCCGTTATGATAAATTTTTCCTGGTCGAGCCGCAGCACATTCCCAGTGTCTTGGTGAGTGTTTGAAGCCTGTGAGAATGATGCAGTCAGATTTAGTTTGACCTGTAAAAGCTGAGTTTCGAGAGATTTTGTGTGTTTGGTTTAGATGGCGTTTTTAGATCATCGTGATTTTTGACAGCGATGATATTTTGTTTTATTTTTACATTTAAACGCGTTAAATATTACATATACGTATGTAATATAATGTGTATTTCCATCACAGGCTTGGTCTTAAATTTCACATAAGGTGGTATTAAAAAGGTCTTAAAAAGTCTTAAATTTAACTTGTTCATATCTGTAGACACCCTGTAAAATGTACTTCTCAAAGCAATATTTTTATTTTTAAGGAATATCACACAACAAGATTTTTGTCTTTTGCTCAGCATCTTATTTGACAAAAAATAAAAGTGCAATGTTTTGTTGTAAATTAATTACATTTTCTATTTGGTTACATTTCAAAATATTTAATTTTGTCCTATATTAAAAGGCAGCTAATCTGTCGAGTTTAATTGTGAACAAAAAAGTTGTTTACATTCATTTTCAAGGTCTAACAAACGTGGAAAGCATTTCCTTCCCCATTAAAGGTAAATGAATATCATGATAGATATCAATATCATATGATATGGGGAAAAAAATCACGTTAATATTTTTGGCCATATTGCCCAGCTCTAGATTGAATGCAAATAGTGTTATAGGCACAAAGTAGCATGTACATCATGATGTTGTGTGTTTGTGTAGCTGGTCTCCTGTGGCGTGAGCGAGTATCAGCATTCCTCCGTGACTCTGGAGTTCTTCGAGACCGTCGTCCGTTATGATAAATTTTTCCTGGTCGAGCCGCAGCACATTCCCAGTGTCTTGGTGAGTGTTTGAAGCCTGTGAGAATGATGCAGTCAGATTTAGTTTGACCTGTAAAAGCTGAGTTTCGAGAGATTTTGTGTGTTTGGTTTAGATGGCGTTTTTAGATCATCGTGGCCTGAGGCACAGCAGTCCAAAGGTGCGCAGTCGAGTGGCTTACCTGTTCTCACGCTTCATCAAAACCCTGCAGTGAGTTACTCTACAACTACATACATGCACACACACACTGGGTGAAAGGGTCAATTTATAATATTTGCAATTAATCCTCACTTATTTTTATATAACCCTTTTTTGTTATTTTTATACAGGGCTGTCAATCAATTTAAAAAATATACAGAACATTTCAGACTGCGTTCTGTAAATAATCACAACTAATAAATACAAATATAATTTGTAATCATAAATATATTTTCACACTGGATCTCCAAATTAATTCAGAAACAACAAAGACGGTCTATTTTGAATATTTGTTTAATTGCGTCTTTTTAATAAGTACTATGAAAACTATAAAAAAATTTTTTTCCAGTTTTTCAAATTCAATTTCTGAGAATGAGTAATTATAACCATTCAACATTACAGTACAATTGAAAGCCTAATTTTTTTTATGTTTATTAGACTGAAACCGCAAGTTATCAACTGTTTTTATTAATTTATTAACAATTACAGAACATTAAACTATATATATATATTTACATAAACTTTTAATTCGAGTAATTTTTTTATGATATAATTTTTTTGTTATCTGTTTCATGTGTTAAATTATTAATTGGCAAATATTAATCACAGAAATAGTTTATTTTTATTTTTTGTTCTGCAGTTGTTAATAATTGAATATAAATAATCTGATAACTTGCAGTTTAGGTATATTAAAAATATTGACTTTCAGTTTTTATTTAGCCAAACCCATTTCAAACAAGGTTATCTTATTATATTATTGTTACCTTATAGGGTTGTGACGGTGAGGACATTTTCCCACCGGTTATTCGACCGTCATCGTCACATGACCAGCATTTACGTTGCGTCTCGTTTTCGTCACGTGATAAAGGTTCGTTGACGACGATATTTAGTCATAATTTTTGTTGACGAAAGCAACACTAACACACACACTATAGTTTTCTTTTATGCATTTCTCCACTTTAGCTTGTCTAATAGACCTGGCATTACACACTCCAAATATTTTTGGGTCTGACAAATTGCTTTTGTTCCTCTTTTGTAATTCACTTTGGTTAAAAGCATCTGGAAAATTCAAAAAGTGTAAATATAAATGTAAAGAAAATAATTACTAGGGCTGCCCTCGACTAAAGATTTTTCTGGTCGACTAGTAGTCGTTCAAGCGCACCGCAGAAGCTATGATTATGAATGTGTCAGGGAAAAACAGGAGGCTACATTAACATTTTAATAATTCACTGATAAACAAGTGCTTTCTCGTCATCTCCACAGTAGTGGATGCGCCTGTATGCATGTTTCACACGGATTATTACATAATCTGAGAATATTTGTTTTACATTTGAATTGGTTCATTTTTGGTTTTGAATTGGTTCATCACTATCTATAGATATATTTTAATGTCTGTAAGGCAAAGATATACACAGTTTCGCGCTCGAGTTCACGGACCGAGATGGCAGAAAGCGCATCCTGTTTGCTTTCATTATTTTACAAAAACACGTTTTGTTGTTATTGTGAGTGCACACAAATAAACGTAGAGTCTTTACAGATTTGAAAGATGTATTACTCTTATCTGTATGACCAAAAATTATAGTATTTTATAGGAGTATTTTATAGGGATGGGCGATATGGGCTTTAAAATATATCACGATAATTTCTGATATTTATTGCGATAATTTAGGGAATCCTGTTTCTTTAGAGCAGTGGTCACTAGGGATATGCCGGTATCAAATTTTCATGTTGCGATTAATTGCTCATGCTTTTATCGCGGTATACGGTATTATCACGGTATTGAAATTTAGTTTTAAAAAAAGTGCTGTCACAATACAGTATAACAGGTTTAATAACTTTTTTCTTATAACAAAATAACTGAACATTTAAATAAAAAAATGTTATACAGAAAAATGTATAAGTAAAAAAATGTACACATTAAAATGCAAAAGAACTATAAATACCAATAGGTATCACTTTACAATAAGACCTCATTAGTTAACCTTAGTTAATGCATTAACATTCACAATGAGCAATAACTACATTTGCTACAGAAGCTAATCTTTTTAAAAAAAAATACAAGTCTTAGTTCATGTTAGCTCATTAAATAATACAGTTGCAACTTTTGATTTTAACAACAACGTGTTATTAAATATTGTAATTACCTAAGATTAATGAATGTTAGAAGAATTTTTCATTAGCAGTTTGTTAACTGAATTAACTAATATGTTAACTAATGAAGCCCTAATGTAAAGTGTGACCGAACGCTTCTCATCCGTGCTTATTTACATCAGAGTGCGCACGCATCTTTCACGCAGCATACATAGGTGTTGTGCATTGTGACCAGCTGATGGGGAAAAGTATTCCTAAAATGCATTCTAAATTCTGTATAATTTGTAATAACTAATTATTCTCGGTATTTAGAAGTGCCCAACGATAACAATATCGTGCATATTCATTTTGTGGAATTACCGCATTACCGAATACCGGCACAAGTCTACATATGAATCAAGATATATAAAACAAAAAAACATGTAAACCAATGTATAGCTAAACCATTGAAAGAAGTAAGCTGGCTGTACATATACTTTATATTACTCTGTATATAAGTTTACTAAACTAGAGTTAAAAAAAAAAAAAGCATAGCCTCAGACAAACAGTTTTGCGGGCTAACGCTCATCAGTGCAATAAAACACTCTGGGAAGACACTGTTTAAGATATTGGGGCGGTTTAGAGTATTGGGTATCTGTTTTAAACACAGTTTAGGATATTTCCTTGGTTACCGCTGTAAACAAAGCAGAGTTGCGCTTTATACGGAGAAGAAAATGCCATTGCCATCGAAACTTCTCCCAAGACAGTATCCTTCAGTGATTACATTAATATAACCCCAGAAATGTAATGCATGTTTGTACTTATTTTACTGTTTTTTTCGGGATCTACTGGGACAGTGATAAAGATAAAGATAATCGCGATCGACGGGTTGGCGACCACTGCTGTAAAATATACACGAGTCAGTTGGTGCTACATTACTATAATATTGAAGGTTAAAACTGACAGATTTTTTTAGGCTATACAACTGCTTAAATTACACTTAATGAAGTTTTTATAATAAAATAAGTTACAATTACATAAAAATATTTGTTGAAGAACAGTAGAAGTTAAAATTAATATATTATATGGTGCATGTATTTAGCAAAATGCCCCTCACTACAGTTTATTTTTCTATCTGACTAATGAGATTTTGGTCACCGAATATGTTTTTTCTGAGGTAAATGTGACTTTACGTGACATTGTTTAAAAGTCGTTATATTGACGTCTTTGCGCGGCTGAAACACTGATTGAGCGATTACATGAGACAGGATACGGATTGTAAAGCTGTACTCTTTCTTTTAACTTGCCTTCGGATGTTTAGTCATGTTTATTTTGTGCCGAAACTGGTATTAATGTGGAGGAGATTATCAGTTCACGTGTGCCTCGCGCTGCCGCTTTTATTGAACCTAGGCGCGCCGTGCTACAGCGATTACTCCAGTCCACATTAAACAGCGCCAAAACGGCATTCATGAACATAATTTTAAATCTGAGACTTTGTTTCATATTAAAAGTACCAAAGCACAATGCTTATTGTGATTTATTGGATGGGAAGTGCCCTTCAATGTTCCGTATATTTACTGAAAACAGGCCAGACTAATCGATTCTTGGGATTTAAGAATCGATATCGTTTCGTAAAAATGAGAATCGATTATAATCGAGATATCGATATTTTTTACCCAGCCCTAGCATAGACCAGCCATTAACGATCTGCGTGACTTTGCCAAAAATATTTTGGTTGACCAAGCCTCTTCTGGTCGACTAACGATTAGTCTGCTATTAGGGGGCAGCCCTAATAATTACTGAATTTCTATGTTCGTTCATTCAACAGACACTTTTAGAGTTCATTCATTCATTCATGCTCTTGTTTATTTGTGCAGTAAACACATGAATGCATTCATCGAGGACATACTCAGCAGAATACAGGACCTGTTAGAGCTCGCTCCCCCGGTAACAGCTCATAAAAATCATATGAAGCAGCATGTAAATCTGCTCTAAACGTCTGCGTGATCGCTCCTCTCTCTTCGTGTGTCCAGGAGAATGGGTTTCTGGCTCTGCTGAGCAGTGATGATCAGCTGTTCGTGTTTGAGACGGCCGGCGTGCTGATCGTGAACGGAGAGAGTCCAGCCGAGCGAAAGCAGGCTCTGATGCGCAGCCTCCTGACGCCGCTGATGGAGGCGTTTCACATGCTGCTCGCAAAGCTGCCGCAGGAGGCCGATGAAGAGAGACAGGCAGTGCTGGCCGATTGTCTGAGTCACGCTGTGGGATTCGCCAGGTAAACACACAACCCTGACAATGTGAAGATTAATTAGATGTTGTGTTGAACTGACTTGAATCAAACTTATAAAGCGGCAAGACACCATAGGTAAGTAGGGTTAATCACAGTGCATTGAGACAGTTGTATTGTATTTTATATAGTTTATATATTTTATTATGCAAGTGCAACATCGATTAATACACTAATTTGCATACATTTCCAGAAGTACAGAATACATACAGAAATATGAACACTGGATAAATCCAGGTTCAAATTTTTCATTTTGCTGACACATTGGATTTGTTTTACAGTGGAAATTTTGGATTTCCCTTTTTTTAATCACTCCATAAATCAGAAAAAACAGTCAACAACCATAAAAAAAAAAAATAAAAAAAACTTCAGAATATAGATAGGAAAAAAACTAAAGTTTGGAATATGTAAGTGCAGAGAAAAAACTCACAGCCTTTAAAGTTACGCATTGTTTCTAAAATCTACAGATGCAAATAGATGAAGTGCAATAAAATAAACGCATAACTGTGCATTTTAGATGTTTTCTTTCCATTAGTCTTAATGTTATGGACGCAAAAATGACCAAAATCTTAAAATTGACCAGTTCTTCAAACAGGGTCATTATAGTTAAATAGAATGAAATAAATATAGTTAAATAGTATAAAATAAATGTAAACTGAAATAAAATATTAAAAATATAAAATATATATATATTTTATTTTTTATTTTTTTTTATTTTTATTTTTTCAGCTAATTTCCAAGGCAAAATTTCTAATACCCTTATGACTGGTTTTGTGCTCCAGGGTCACATACATATATATATATATACATATATACTATAATGCACATTATGTCTTATATATTAGGCAGTGTTGATTTACACTAAGTGCAAATAGCTGAACTTGTTGGCAGGGGACATTTTCAGTACACATACTGTATGTTTAATGATTTCCAGTACAAATATCATACAAATACATTTTTTTACGTCAAGATACATTTACTTGAGAAGCAAAATGAGAGAAGATATTGTGTCTTGTATTTTGAATTTTTTTTATTAAGTAAGTTTAAGCTTAAAATTTTTTAAAAATATATATATATTTATGCCAATGAGGTCAGAAAAATAAATTTGTTTTTCCTTTGAATTCACCCATATGTTGTGTTTTGGTCATTTTGACCTGGAGAGGATTTTCTTTTTCCTAAAAATGCTAGTTAATGTTATTGCATTGAACAAAAACGTAAAAAAATAAAATAAAAAAATATTTTATTTTATTTTTTTTTTATTTTTATTTTTTTTCAGCTAATTTCCAAGGCAAAATTTCTAATTTTCATTCAGTTTTACTTGATTTATTAAAATAACTAAAACCTCAAACTGGAATAAAAATTAATAAAATACTACATAGACATTTAAAAATGACAAAAACACACAATGAAATTACTTTAAAAAAAATTTTTTTTTTAAACTTTAACTAAAATTGACATAAGCAGAAAATATAAAAATGGTATATCGATAGTAAAACAACACTGGCCTGAAAAAACGATGGTGTTTTGCTATCCGCTCTCAAACTCACAAGTCATGACATGAGTGGGCGCAACTTAAAGGTGACATATCATGAAAATCTGACTTTTCCAGGTTTTAAGTGCTATAAT